CTTGGCTTCCTTCAGCTCCAGCTCCAGCGAGACCCACGTCACGGCCACCGCGGAAGGGTCCGAGGTGAGGGCCAGGTGGATCTGCTCGGGGCCAGGGCCCGCTGCGGCGGCCGCGCCCGCCAGGGAGCACAGCGCCAGCCGGCGCCCGCGCGCCATCGGAGGGGTGGGCGCCAGACCCGCCTGAGCCCCAACGGCTGCGGCCGTTGGGGTTGTGGTCGTGGTCGACGTCGTCGCGCTGGCGCGCGCGGATGAGGATGATGAGGAAGATGAGGATGAGGAGGACGAAAAGCATGATGACAAGAAGGGTGAAGTGGAGGAGGGGGATGATGAGGAAATATCCGACGGGGGAGGATGACACGGATGATGATGTTGAAATCGCACGCTCGTGAAAGGAGGAACAAAGAAAGAGAAAGAGAGAGAGAGAGGTCAGGGGGTCCAGCCTCGAATAAAGCCCTTGGCGTGCCCCATCGGAGGGTAACCTTTTGTGCCCCTGACCGCGGGCACAGCCCAGCCAGGGGCCGGCGGCAGGAGGGCGCCCAGGAAAAAACTCAAGGCCGACTCTTCTTTGCCGATCGGGTCGGGGTCGCTTCGACCGGCCAGTCAGCCAAACTCTCGAACCCGCTCGCCAGTCTGTGCCCGAAGGGCTCCTTCGGGGCACAGGCGAAGGGACCCACAAAAAGCGCTGCCCATCCTTCGTCCCGTCACTGCCCTACCCCACAAAAGCGCCGCCGTGCCCCGCAGGGCTCGATGCGCACCGAAGCTCCTTACGGCGCGACCCCCGCAGACGCGCGTGACCTGGAAACGCGCGTCACAGCAAAGCCAACTCAAGCATCGGGGGCCCACTGGGCACATGAAGCCGAGGAGCAATCCACAAACTCACCAGGGGCAGCTGCGACCCCTGGCCCGACGGTGGCCATCGAAGGCCCGTCTCGGGACGACCCAGGCGCCCCGATCGTGGACCTCGCCATTGATCGAAGCCTCACTTCTGGCTGAACGGGCCCCGCCGAGGGCTCCCGTGGGGGGAAGTTCGCAACGTGCCGCCGCGCGAACCTCGGCACACCAGCGCGCGTCTCGTGGCCCCATGATGGGGGCTCCGCCGAAGGCTCCAATGGGACCTTTCGCATGGCGGCGCCGCACCCAGTCCGGCACATCTCTCGCACGCTTCGTGGTCCTACAGAGAGCTCCACCGAAGGTAGCAGTGGAAGGTTCTCATGGCGCCGCTGCGCCAATGTCGGCACGCCCTTCATGCGTTTCGGGACCGAATTGCAATGCCGGGTCCCCAGAAGTCTACGCCCTTTCCCGAGAGCCGATTCCTCATCCCGAACCGTTTTTCGACGGTCCCGAGGCCCGGCGAGGGCCCCCAGAGGCCGAACGCGGCCAAATACAGTCATTGCTATTTTTTACTCGTTTCCAACCATCCTGTGGTGTTGGGTTCTCTTTTTGAAGAGACGGTCCCCGCGTTCCTCCCGTCCTCCTCGCCCTCCCCCCTCCGCCGTCCACGTGCGTCCCCCACGCCCATGTCGGCGCACACCCCTCACGCGTTTCGTGGCCCCGTAAAGAAGGCCCCACCGAAGGCCTCCGCCTGGTCTTCCTCCTCCACCTCCTGTCTCTGATTCCTCACTGCTCGTCCTTCGCCTCCTCCTCCTCCTCCTCCTCATCTATATCCTTATCCTTATCCTCCTCCTTCTCCTCCCCTGTTCTTCCTCATGCCGACCGATCTACTACACGCCTTGTGTGAAATGCTGCAGTGCATCCTCCTCGCCGTTGCCTCCGTTTCCAATGCATCATCGATTGCCGTGTCGCCGCGCTTCCCCGTCTTCATGGCGCCCATCCTCTAACGAAGAAAAGCGCACAAACGCGTGTAGTCGAGGCTTGCGATAGCGCCCACACACAGCTGAAAATTATGATGTTCAGCCCACTTCACTATGGTCACAAGCACTCTGCAAATCCACGTGCGTTTCGCCAGGGCAGTATCTCGTCATTCGCCCAGCAGATCGCCATGCGGATAGCATCTACATGAAGAGTGGTAGTGTGAACGTGCATCTGGTATTCCAAACGCATTCGGTCCAGCCCGAGTAAACAACGTGCGTAACCGCGCACCCTACGCCTAGTCACTCTCACCCCGCATGCCAAGCCTGTCGCCACTGGATCACTCCGCATGTCCACCTGGCTGCACCTGTGCGCCGAGCTCCACGCGGGCTCGGCTGTGTCAGCGAGTGAGCTCACTGAGCGTGGTCCTTGGCCCAAGTAGGCTGCGGAGGAAGACGAGGAAGATGAGGATGAGGAGGCGGAGGAGGAGGAGGGGGAGGGAGGAGGATGAGGGGTATGAGGAGGAGGAGGAGGAGGAAGAGGAGGAGGAGGAGGAGGAGGAGGGGGATGAGGAGGAGGAATAGGATGATGATGATGATGATGATGATGATGATGATGATGATGAGGAGGAGGAGGAGGAGGAGGAGGAGGAGGAGGAGGCGGATCATCGGAGTGACGGCTCGATGCGGGAACCCATTGGAGTGCAATCGGTTGGCTCTCGATCGAATGGTTTGCGATCCCATTGGTTTGCAATCGATTGGATTGCAATCGACTGCGTTGCAATAGATTTGTTTGGAATCGGTTGTCTTGCAATCAATTGGCCTGCAATCAGAATGAGGCGGATGCCTTCCCAGCCAATCGGCGAGAACGCTGAGGCGGAGGAAGAAGGAGGATGAGGAAGAGGCGGACGACTAAAACGATGAGGAAGGAGGATGAGGGGTAGGAGAAGGAGGATGATGACGAGGACGTGGATGACGAGGAACATGAGAGGGAGAAGGATGGTTAGGAGGAGCAGGGCGAGGATGAAGATGAGGAGGATGATGATTATCGGAGAGATCGCTCGCTGAGGGGACGGGGTGCTGGGGTGGGGTGGGTGGGGGGGGGGCTGCATAGGCACACTATTAAATTAGCCTGGTGAAGGACTCAACCATATGCAGTTGTGGGTATCGCACTTGTGAAGATCTTCTTCGGTGGCGCTCCATATGGTGCCACGAACCCTGTGAGGTGTGTGTCGAAATGGGTGTGGGAGACGCATGTGGACGGTTGCACTGGGCCTCTGGGGGAGCTCCCTACGGGGCCACGAAACGTGTGAGGGGTGTGCAGGCATGGGTGGGGGACGCATGCGGACGGTGGCACGGGAGCCTTCGGTGGAGCTCCCTATGGTGTCACGATGCATGTGAGGGGGGTGCCGACATGCGTGTGGGGGACGCATGTGGACGGTGGCACTGGGGCCTTCGGTGGAGCTCCCCATGAGGCCACGAAGCGTGTGAGGGGTGTGGTGCCGAAGTGGGTGTGGGGGACGCATGTGGACGGTGGCACTGGGGCCTTCGGAGGGGCTCCCTATGTGGCCACGAAGCGTGTGAGGGGTGACCCAAAGTGCGTGTGGGGTGCACGTGGACGGTGGCGCTGGGACGTTCGGTGGAGCTCCCCCATGGGGCCACAACACGTGTGGAAGGGTGTGCCGGAATGTGTCTGGGGGACGCATGTGGGCGGTGGCAACGAAACGTGTGAGGGGGGTGCCCGCATGGGTGGGGGGGATGTGGACGGTTGCGCTGAGGCCTTCGGTGGCGCTCCGTATGGGGCCACGAACCCTGTGAGGTGTGTGCCGAAATCGGTGCGGCGCACGCATGTGGACGGTGGCACTGGAGCGTTCTGTGGAGCTTCCTTTGGGGCCACGAAGCGTGTGAGGGTGTGCCGACACGGGTGTGAGGGGCTCATGCGGGCGGTGCACGAAACGTGTGAGGGGTGCGCAAAAATGGGTGTGGGAGACGCATGTGGACGGTTGCACTGGGGCCTTCGGTGGGGCTCCCCATGGGGCTACGAAGCGTGTGAGGGGTGTGCCGAAATGGGGGTGGGGGACGCATGTGGATGGTTGCACTAGGGCCTTCGGTGGAGCTCCCCGTGGGGCCACGAAGCGTGTGAGGGGCGTGCCCACATGGGTGGGTGGGGGGGGGCGCATGTGGACGGTGGCACTGGGGCCTTCGGTGGAGCTCCCATATGGGGCCACGAAGCGTGTGAGTGGCGTGCCCACATGGGGGGAGGGCGCATGTGGACGGTGGCACTGGGGCCTTCGGTGGAGCTCCCTATGGGGCCACGAAGCGTGTGAGGGGTGTGCCGACCGACATGGGTGTGGGGGACGCATGTGGACGGTGGCACTGGGGCCTTCGGTGGAGCTCCCCATGGGGCCACGGAACGTGCGAAGGGTGTGCCGAAATGGGTTTTGGGGGCGCGTGTGGACGGTGGAGGAGGGGGGCAAGGAGGAATGGAGGAACGCGGGGAAGGTCCCTTCAAAACGAGGACCCGACACCACAGGCTGGCTGGGGACAAAAAAGACGCGAGCATGTGTGGGGAGGAATGGGGGAGGATCGGGGATCGAGGGGGACCGCGGCTCGAGGGGATCGGCGAAGCGGGGATCGGAGGAAGAGGAGGCCCCCTCTCCCACGGGGCGGAGGGGGAGCAGAGGATCGAGGAGGATCGAGGAGGAGGACCGACGAGGTTCGAGGGGGATCGAGGAGGATCGAGAAGGAGGATCGAGGGGGATCGATGAGGATCGAGGAGAGAGGATCGAGGAGGATCGAGGCTCGAGGCTCGAAAGGCTCGGCCTCAAAACGCCGCCGTGCCGCTCTCGCGCCGCGGGCGGCCGGGCAGCGGCGGCAGCAGCGCGGGCGCGAGCGCGGCGAGGGCGACGCCCGCCAGGGAGGCGGCAGCGCCAACGCGGCGCAGAGGCGAGGCCAGCGCGACGCCGCCCATGGACATGAGCGCGAGGCCCACGGGGTATCTGGCGCCTCCATCATCATCGTCGTCGTCATCATCATCATCATCATCGTCATCATTAACATCATCATCAGCATCATCGTCATCGTCATCGCCACCGTCATTAACATCATCATCAGCGTCATCATCATCGTCATCGTCACCGTCATCATCATCAGCACAATCATCATCATCGTCGTCATCGTCGTCGTCATCGTCATCATCAGCATCATCATCATCAGCATCACCACCATCACCATAATCATCATCCCCACCACCATCATCATCAACAACATTATCATCACCATCAACACCATGATCATCATCACCATCATCATCATCATCATCATCATCATTATCATGATCAGCATCAT